TTTCGGGGTTTTTAGCATCGTTTTGATGGCAGTTATTTAAAGTGAGAAAATAGCCTTTTTTAAAACGGCCATAACTCCTTAAATATTGACATTTCGGGTTTTTAGCATCGTTTTGATGGCAGTTATTTAAAGTGAGAAAATAGCCTTTTTTAAAACGGCCATAACTCCTTAAATATTGACATTTCGGGGTTTTTAGCTTCGTTTTGATTGCAGTTATTTAAAGTGAGAAAATAGCCTTTTTTAAAACGGCCATAACTCCTTAAATATTGACATTTCGGGGTTTTTAGCATCGTTTTGATGGCAGTTATTTAAAGTGAGAAAATAGCCTTTTTTAAAACGGCCATAACTCCTTAAATATTGACATTTCGGGGTTTTTAGCATCGTTTTGATGGCAGTTATTTAAAGTGAGAAAATAGCCTTTTTTAAAACGGCCATAACTCCTTAAATATTGACATTTCGGGGTTTTTAGCATCGTTTTGATGGCAGTTATTTAAAGTGAGAAAATAGCCTTTTTTTAAAACGGCCATAACTCCTTAAATATTGACATTTCGGGGTTTTTAGCATCGTTTTGATTGCAGTTATTTAAAGTGAGAAAATAGCCTTTTTTTAAAACGGCCATAACTCCTTAAATATTGACATTTCGGGGTTTTTAGCTTCGTTTTGATTGCAGTTATTTAAAGTGAGAAAATAGCCTTTTTTTAAAACGGCCATAACTCCTTAAATATTGACATTTCGGGGTTTTTAGCATCGTTTTGATGGCAGTTATTTAAAGTGAGAAAATAGCCTTTTTTAAAACGGCCATAACTCCTTAAATATTGACATTTCGGGGTTTTTAGCATCGTTTTGATGGCAGTTATTTAAAGTGAGAAAATAGCCTTTTTTAAAACGGCCATAACTCCTTAAATATTGACATTTCGGGGTTTTTAGCATCATTTTGATGGCAGTTATTTAAAGTGAGAAAATAGCCTTTTTTAAAACGGCCATAACTCCTTAAATATTGACATTTCGGGGTTTTTAGCATCGTTTTGATGGCAGTTATTTAAAGTGAGAAAATAGCCTTTTTTAAAACGGCCATAACTCCTTAAATATTGACATTTCGGGGTTTTTAGCTTCGTTTTGATTGCAGTTATTTAAAGTGAGAAAATAGCCTTTTTTAAAACGGCCATAACTCCTTAAATATTGACGTTTCGGGGTTTTTAGCTTCGTTTTGATTGCAGTTATTTAAAGTGAGAAAATAGCCTTTTTTTAAAACGGCCATAACTCCTTAAATATTGACATTTCGGGGTTTTTAGCTTCGTTTTGATTGCAGTTATTTAAAGTGAGAAAATAGCCTTTTTTAAAACGGCCATAACTCCTTAAATATTGACATTTCGGGGTTTTTAGCTTCGTTTTGATTGCAGTTATTTAAAGTGAGAAAATAGCCTTTTTTAAAACGGCCATAACTCCTTAAATATTGACGTTTCGGGGTTTTTAGCTTCGTTTTGATTGCAGTTATTTAAAGTGAGAAAATAGCCTTTTTTTAAACGGCCATAACTCCTTAAATATTGACATTTCGGGGTTTTTAGCATCGTTTTGATTGCAGTTATTTAAAGTGAGAAAATAGCCTTTTTTAAACGGCCATAACTCCTTAAATATTGACATTTCGGGGTTTTTAGCTTCGTTTTGATTGCAGTTATTTAAAGTGAGAAAATAGCCTTTTTTAAAACGGCCATAACTCCTTAAATATTGACATTTCGGGGTTTTTAGCTTCGTTTTGATTGCAGTTATTTAAAGTGAGAAAATAGCCTTTTTTAAACGGCCATAACTCCTTAAATATTGACATTTCGGGGTTTTTAGCTTCGTTTTGATTGCAGTTATTTAAAGTGGGAAAATAGCCTTTTTAAAAAGGGCCATAACTCCTTAAATATTGACATTTCGGGGTTTTTAGCATCGTTTTGATGGCAGTTATTTAAAGTGAGAAAATAGCCTTTTTTAAAACGACCATAACTCCTTAAATATTGACATTTCGGGGTTTTTAGCATCATTTTGATGGCAATTATTTAAAGTGAGAAAATAGCCTTTTTTAAAACGGCCATAACTCCTTAAATATTGACATTTCGGGGTTTTTAGCATCGTTTTGATGGCTGTTATTTAAAGTGAGAAAATAGCCTTTTTTAAAACGGCCATAACTCCTTAAATATTGACATTTCGGGGTTTTTAGCATCGTTTTGACTGCAGTTATTTAAAGTGGGAAAATAGCCTTTTTAAAAAGGGCCATAACTCCTTAAATATTGACATTTCGGGGTTTTTAGCATCGTTTTGACTGCAGTTATTTAAAGTGGGAAAATAGCCTTTTTTAAAACGGCCATAACTCCTTAAATATTGATATTTCGGGGTTTTTAGCATCGTTTTGACTGCAGTTATTTAAAGTGGGAAAATAGCCTTTTTTAAAACGGCCATAACTCCTTAAATATTGACATTTCGGGGTTTTTAGCATCGTTTTGACTGCAGTTATTTAAAGTGGGAAAATAGCCTTTTTTAAAACGGCCATAACTCCTTAAATATTGACATTTCGGGGTTTTTAGCATCATTTTGATGGCAGTTATTTAAAGTGAGAAAATAGCCTTTTTTAAAACGGCCATAACTCCTTAAATATTGACATTTCGGGGTTTTTAGCATCATTTTGATGGCAGTTATTTAAAGTGAGAAAATAGCCTTTTTTTAAAACGGCCATAACTCCTTAAATATTGACATTTCGGGGTTTTTAGCATCATTTTGATGGCAATTATTTAAAGTGAGAAAATAGCCTTTTTTAAAACGGCCATAACTCCTTAAATATTGACATTTCGGGGTTTTTAGCATCATTTTGATGGCAGTTATTTAAAGTGAGAAAATAGCCTTTTTTAAAACGACCATAACTCCTTAAATATTGACATTTCGGGGTTTTTAGCATCATTTTGATGGCAATTATTTAAAGTGAGAAAATAGCCTTTTTTAAAACGGCCATAACTCCTTAAATATTGACATTTCGGGGTTTTTAGCATCGTTTTGATGGCTGTTATTTAAAGTGAGAAAATAGCCTTTTTTAAAACGGCCATAACTCCTTAAATATTGACATTTCGGGGTTTTTAGCATCGTTTTGACTGCAGTTATTTAAAGTGGGAAAATAGCCTTTTTTAAAACGGCCATAACTCCTTAAATATTGACATTTCGGGGTTTTTAGCATCGTTTTGATGGCAGTTATTTAAAGTGAGAAAATAGCCTTTTTTAAAACGACCATAACTCCTTAAATATTGACATTTCGGGGTTTTTAGCATCATTTTGATGGCAATTATTTAAAGTGAGAAAATAGCCTTTTTTAAAACGGCCATAACTCCTTAAATATTGACATTTCGGGGTTTTTAGCATCATTTTGATGGCAGTTATTTAAAGTGAGAAAATAGCCTTTTTTAAAACGACCATAACTCCTTAAATATTGACATTTCGGGGTTTTTAGCATCATTTTGATGGCAATTATTTAAAGTGAGAAAATAGCCTTTTTTAAAACGGCCATAACTCCTTAAATATTGACATTTCGGGGTTTTTAGCATCGTTTTGACTGCAGTTATTTAAAGTGGGAAAATAGCCTTTTTTAAAACGGCCATAACTCCTTAAATATTGACATTTCGGGGTTTTTAGCATCGTTTTGATGGCAGTTATTTAAAGTGAGAAAATAGCCTTTTTTAAAACGACCATAACTCCTTAAATATTGACATTTCGGGGTTTTTAGCATCGTTTTGACTGCAGTTATTTAAAGTGGGAAAATAGCCTTTTTTAAAACGGCCATAACTCCTTAAATATTGACATTTCGGGGTTTTTAGCATCATTTTGATGGCAGTTATTTAAAGTGAGAAAATAGCCTTTTTTAAAACGGCCATAACTCCTTAAATATTGACATTTCGGGGTTTTTAGCATCGTTTTGATTGCAGTTATTTAAAGTGAGAAAATAGCCTTTTTTAAAACGGCCATAACTCCTTAAATATTGACATTTCGGGGTTTTTAGCATCGTTTTGACTGCAGTTATTTAAAGTGAGAAAATAGCCTTTTTTAAAACGGCCATAACTCCTTAAATATTGACATTTCGGGGTTTTTAGCATCATTTTGATGGCAATTATTTAAAGTGAGAAAATAGCCTTTTTTAAAACGGCCATAACTCCTTAATATTGACATTTCGGGGTTTTTAGCATCGTTTTGACTGCAGTTATTTAAAGTGGGAAAATAGCCTTTTTTAAAACGGCCATAACTCCTTAAATATTGACATTTCGGGGTTTTTAGCATCGTTTTGATGGCTGTTATTTAAAGTGAGAAAATAGCCTTTTTTAAAACGGCCATAACTCCTTAAATATTGACATTTCGGGGTTTTTAGCATCATTTTGATGGCAGTTATTTAAAGTGAGAAAATAGCCTTTTTTAAAACGACCATAACTCCTTAAATATTGACATTTCGGGGTTTTTAGCATCATTTTGATGGCAGCTATTTAAAGTGAGAAAATAGCCTTTTTTAAAACGACCATAACTCCTTAAATATTGACATTTTAAGGGGCAGTTATTTAAGGTTGAAAAATATTCCGATTTTTTATTTATTTATTTATTTTTTTTTTTTTTTTTTGTTAAACAGTGATTGTTCTCTTGGCTTTTGCGCACATCATCTGATATTTTGTTTTGAATTAAATCATCGTTGTTGCAAAATCGCAAAATCGACTTAACCTTCAAGTTACTTAATAAATAATTCAGATTCCCACTTTCTCTAATTAAATACAAACTATTTTTCCACTTTTTAATAAATTAAAAAAATAATTTAAATGTCGGATTCTGAGACACGAGACACGTGCTGCTACCACATTTTTTTTATTCTAAGCTTTGGCACACAATGGAGGCCATGAAAGCTCAGGCAAAATCATTGTTCTCACCTGAACAACTGTGAGCGATGGTGCATCACTTGAATTGGGGGTGGGGTGGGAAACCTGGCTTTGGCTCTCCAAGATCACTGCAACCACAGCGCATTGTTGCAATTGAACTGGCTGGCGGGTAAATTTCAATATAAAAACGGTGCCACCGCCAGTTGAGTTAACTAGTCGTTTGGTTACAGCAATCACCAGCTGAACATTGCCAAGTAAAGTTACAACAAGTTCTTTGAAGGTCGGTGTCTCTATTTTGAAGACGTTTTGAAAATAATTAATTTCAAAAAAAAAAATAGTGATAAACTTAAAATACAATTATTGTGGAACCGTTAAAAAATTATAAAAAATATTGAAAAATTATCAACTGAAAAATCTTAAAAACGCTGAGAAAAAAGGGGCCTTGAGTTGAGCCTTAAGTTGTTTAAAAAAATCAAAATATTCCTCAATTTTTTTATCTTGTCTAGTTTTATAAACAAAAATATCCATTAAAATACATACCGATCCGAAGTCCTATTCGTATTTGTGTATTCCTCTATAATTTGACTCTTTATGGTGTTCCTAACCTAAAAAAAAATCATTCAATTGAAATTATTTTTTAAAAATACCGGAACTATTCATTTATTCTCTCTCTCCCTCTCTCCCACTCTCTCTTTCCAGTCTCATTCAACCGCAAGTCAACATGAAATTCCTCATTGTCACCATTGCCCTGTTCGCCGCCGTTGTCATGGCCCAGGATAAATACACCACCAAATACGACAACATCGATTTGGATGAAATTCTAAAATCCGATCGTCTCTTCAGCAACTACTACAAATGTTTGGTGGATCAGGGCACCTGCACCCCCGATGGCCGTGAATTGAAAAATACCCTACCCGATGCCTTGCAAACCGAATGTAGTAAATGTAACGAAAAGCAAAAGGCCGCCGCCGATAAGGTTATTCGTTACATTATCGAAAACAAAGCCGAAGAATGGAAGGCCTTGCAGGAGAAATACGATCCCGAGCACATCTATGCCACCAAATACAAGGCTGAAGCCGAGAAACGTGGTATCAAGATCTAAATTTGATGAAATACCTCAACTACCCCGCAAAGAAACCAATGGCCAAATACTCAAAGTAATGATCGGATGATGATGAGAGGGAAATTTTCGGAATTCAACGAAAAGTTTTTTTACTTGTTTTTTTATAGTAGAAATGTTTTGCAACAACAAAATTGAAGTCTTAGTTTTTGCACCAATTGTTATTGTTTGTAGATGTTTTGTTAAGTTTTTGAAAACAAATCTGTTGGTCATAATAAAAGAGTAGAAATTTAAAAAAAAAAAAACACACACACATTTTTTCATGGGGTTCTAAGGGAAAAAATAACAAGTTAAAAATCAGTAAGTTCGGCCGGGCCGAACCACCATTTGCAAAGAATTTGAAAATTTTCAAAGAATAAAATCCATAAAAAATTCTGTTAAAATTTTAAAAATACCGAATATAGCCGTTATATTGGGGTCTATACAACGGGGACCTACATAGGCCTTGTTTGTCTTAGGCCATTACCATATTCAAATTCGAAACAATTTTCTGTCACAGGCTATAGCAGCCATTACGAACATCAAATACGACAAATTTCGGTGGGTATTGTACCTACCGAATATAGGAAGGTACTGATATATAGGGCCTATACGAAGACCTCTACCTGTATAGACAATTTTATGTCACAGACTGTAGTTTCCATTACGAACTCTAAATACGTAATTTGAAACAATTCCGGTGAATAATGGTGCTAAAATCATAAAAAAACCCGAATATCGGGAGGTACCGTTGTATGGGGGCCATACGAAGACGTAGACCTGCACAAACAATTTTCTGTCTTTGGCTGTAGTATCCATTACGAACTTCAAATACCAAATTCGAAACAATTCCGGTGAATAATATCGCTAAAATCATCAAAATACCGAATATCGGGAGGTACCTTTATATGGGGGCCTATACGAAGACCTGGACCTGCACTGACAATTTTCTGTTTTAGGCTGCAGTATCAATTACGAACTTCAAACACCGAATTTGAAACAATTCCGGTGAATAATGTCGCTAAAATCATCGAAATACCGAATATCGGGAGGTACCTTTATATGGGGGCTATACGAAGACGTGAACCTGCATAGACAATTTTCTACCTCAGGCTGTAGTATTCATTATGAACTTCAAATACCAAATTCGAAAAAATTCCGTTGAATAATGTTGCTAAAAATCATCAAAATACCGAATATCGGGAGGTACCGTTATATGGCGGCTATACGAAGACCTGGACCTACATAGACAATTTTCTGTCTTAGGCTGCAGTATCCATTACGAACTTCAAATACCAAATTTGAAATAGTTCTGGTAAATAATGTCGCTAAAATCATCAAAATACCGAATATCGGGAGGTACCGTTATATGGGGGCTATATGAAAACGTGGACCTGCATAGACAATTTTCTACCTCAGGCTGTAGTATTCATTACGAACTTCAAATACCACATTCGAAAAAATTCCGGTGAATAATGTCGCTAAAATCATCAAAATATCGAATATCGGGAGGTACCGTTATATGGGTGCCATACGAAGACGTGGACCTGCGCATGCAATTTTCTGTCCTAGGCTGTAGTATCAATTTCGAACTTCAAATACCAAATTTGAAACAATTCTGGTGAATAATGACGCTAAAATCATCAAAATACCGAATATTGGGAGGTACCCTTATATGGGGGCTATAAGAAGGCGTGGACCTGCACAAACCATTTTCTGTCTTAGGATTTAGTATTCATTACGAACTTCAAATACCAAATTCGAAACAATTCCAGTGAATAATGTCGCTAAAATCATCAAAATACATCAAAATATCGGGAGGTACCGTTATATGGGGGCTATATGATAACGTGGACATACATGGTCCATTTACGAACTTAACCTGCCTACTGGCAATGTAGACATGTGTGCAAAATTTTAGCCTTCTATCGTTTCGTTTTTTATTATTATTCGTTCGAAAGATAGCGTGATTACAACAGACAGACACACAGACGGACGGACAGACAGGGCTAAATTGTCTTAGAATTTTACGCTGATCAATAATATGTAGTTACAAACGGAATGACAAAATTAATATACCCTCCATAGTATGGTGGAGGGTATAAAAACTGCAACCAACTTTAGACTGCTGCCATTTCTAGGCCACTCGTCCGAAAGCTCTTAAAATTATTCCAGTGACAGCTCATTATATTGTTTACAAGCGTACAAAAGCATTTAGGTGAGAATTTTCTAGAAATAAAAGTTATTCGTGATGGAATTCAAGCGTGATAGTGTGATTTTTCTATATTTGGCTGGAAAACCATAAGTGGCTATCGCTAGAGCCCTCCTGCATTGAAATGTGGATAAATCTTTTGTGTCTCGAACCATCGCTCAATACCGCAAAAAAAATACCAGAAATGGTTCGAAAAGTAAAGAAGCGACTTGATCGAAACCCGCGTTGCATTGGCCGAAAAATGGCTCGTGAGCTGAAAATATTGCAATATTCCATTCGGCAAATATTGAAAAATGAGCTCGGGGTAAAGCCATTGAAATTCCAAAAAGTGCAAGAACTTACACCGCAACAGAAAGAAAATAGACTCAAAAGAGCTAAAGAGTTGCTGCGCTTGGCCGAAAGTGGTAAATTTGGTTTTTTCCGATGAGAAAACATTCGTTGTCCAGCAGTTTGTAAACAAACGAAATGAACACGATCATACTTGCCAAAGAGGTCAGCTGACAATGTGCACCTTCGGTTGGCCACCAGAACTCATGCCTCAAGCCGGTCATGGTGATGGCGTGGACCGCCATAACAGCCGATGGTCGCTCTCCGCTCGTATTAATCGACCGTGGCATCAGAATAAATGCGATAATCGCGAAAATATTCTGAAAGATAAACATTTTGGCCGCAGACCACTCAGTACGCGCCACCCAAGAATGGTTACAAATTGAGGTTCCTCGCTTCATTTCCAGCGCACAATGGCCACCAAAATCTCCGGATACCAATCCATTGGACTATTGTGTGGGGTCTCTGTTGGTGCTAGGTTTGTGATAAAGAGGTGGTTTTGAAAATGTGTACTAAAAGTTCATGAACAGTACTAAATAGTACTATATTTGATACAATTTGATATTGGGTGAACAGATAGGGCTTGAAATCTGAAAATTGATATTAGGATCGCTGTTCATGTATAGCCTAGACATATGAAGTTGGTCTCGGAAATGTGTACTACATTTGTAAGAAAAGTACTGAATGGTATTATATTTGGTATTTGGTGAAGGGATAGAGATAAAATTCTGAAATTTGATATTACTAAATTTGGACCACTGTTGGTATCTACAGGGTGAGATAAAAAAATGCAACAAAGTGAAACACCATAATTTTTACATTTTTTTAAATTTTATTGAATGAAAGCAAAAAATGTCGGAAATATCATCAAATTTTAGAATAAGTTTAGATTTTTTCGAATTGGTCACCTTTGGCACGAATTATGGCCTTCAAACGGCCAATGAAACCGTCACAAGCTGCCTGAATTTTGCTCTGGGGTATTTCAGACCATTCCCGGCGAAGCACTTGCATGAGGTGATCGACAATGTGGTATTTTTTAGTGCCAGCCTTGGTTTGCAAAATACTCCCGACACAATAGTCCAATGGATTGGTATCCGGAGATTTTGGTGGCCATTGTGCGCTGGAAATGAAGCGAGGAACCTCAATTTGTAACCATTCTTGGGTGGCGCGTACTGAGTGCGATGGTGCCAAAAATTAAGTACCATTTAGTAAAGTTCGAACACAAAGTATACAATTACAAACTTCGTGACCAAACCTACTTTCCGACCCAGATTCTCACACGAAATGTTTAGTTTTTAGCTTCCGATCCGTTCACATAACACCAAGTTGTACCAGACCCCTCGTGCAAGATTTCGTCTGGGGTTTGATTCCATGTCAGTCCCTCAGTCAGTTGTTCGACTACACTTCTATACATAGATGAACCGATATTGGCTGAGGTTATACCGGCTGATACTTTTTAATTTTTCTACCCTCCACCTTGGAAAGGAGGGTATAGAAACTTTGTCATTCCGTTTGTAACATCCTTAAATATGACCCCATAAAGTATATATATATATATATTTATAATCAGCATAAAATTCTAAGTCGATTTAACGATGTCCGCTTGTCTGTTCGTCTGTCTGTCTGTTGAAATCACGATACAGCCTACATTATTTGACGTAGAGTGCCAAAATTTAGCAGAGCAATTTGTATTGTCTCTAGGATGGTTGGTATTGAAAATGAGATATATCGGTCCACGTTCTGGTATAGTCCCCATATAACGGTACCTCCCGATATTCGGTATTTTGATGATTTATGCCACATTTTTTCACGGATTTGTCTGGAAATTGGTATTTGTAGGTCATAACGGGTCCCTGAGCGTGTGGCAAAACATTGCATGTATAGGTCCACGTTGTGGTATAGCCCCCATATAAAGGTACCTCCCGATATTCGGTATTTTAGTTTTTTTTTTGCCACATTTTTCACGGGTTTGTCTATAAATTGGTATTCGTTGGTCATAATGGGTTCCAGCTCCGGTGGCGAAACATTGTAATTATAGGTCCACGTTTTGGTATAGCCCCCATATAACGGTATCTCCCGATATTCGGTTATTTGATGATTTTTGCCACACTTTTTTGCCACATTGCTATTTGTTGGTCATAATGGGTTCCAGCTTCGGTGGCGAAACATTGCATGCATGGGTCCATGATTTGATATAGCCCCCATATAACGGTACATCCCGATATTCGGTATTTTGATGGTTTTTGCAACATTTTTCACTGATTTGTCTAAAAATTGGTATTTGTGGGTCCTAGTTTGTGTAGCGAAACATTGTAATTATAGGTCCACGTTTTGGTGTAGCCCCCATATAACGGTACCTCCCGATATTCGGCATATTAATGGTTTTTGCCACATTTCTTCTAATGTTTCTTTTACCCTAAGGTGGAGGGTATTAAAAGTTTGGCCCGGCCGAACTTAATGTTTTTTTACTTGTTTTTATCTCATCCTGTATATCCTTTTTTTAAGAATTCTAAAATTTCCGTTTCTCCATTTAATTTTTTTTTTTGCAAAGACGTAGAAGAACAATCTCTTTACTTGTCCGAACTATTATTATTTGCAGAGACTGATGGTTTAATGCCGTTTGATTGCATATTTTCGTGCATGGTACAGTAGCAGCGGATTCCCAATTCAAATTTTAATAAAAAAAAAACAACCAGTCAGTTTTGTTTAATTAAAATAAATAGTCTCAATGTGTTTTTTATTCCATATTCTAATTTGGGCCACTAAATTAATGGGGGAGCTAAAAACCTGTATTTTTTTGGTTTTTGTTTTTATTCAGTTCAAGGTATTGGGAGTTAAAACCGTTATGGGGAACTAGAAGAGATTTGTTATTTGAAAAAGAGACAAGAGGAAATGTAGGGAAAAAATTACAAATCGATAATTGTTATAAAGTTCACTCCGTATTACATTTATTAATTGTCATAATCGAACTGTTATAATTATCAGTTAATTGGTGAAGGGTGGGGACTCTGCATTTTTCTCGCCACTCTCTCTCCTTTTCTCTTTCTCTTTCTCTCTAAGGCACCAGCAATTACGGAAATCATAATTTGCTAATCATAATCAAAAGTTAGTAAAGAAAGATTCTGAATGGGAGTGACTTCTTATTTTTTTTTTCATATAGAGGAGACATGGGTTTCCAAAAATAGATTTAAAAAAATGACCTTGATCTTTTTTAACGGGAAGCAATTGCAGATCGTGATTGCTCATCTACCAAAAAAACAGATGAAAAAAACCAGTAGCTAATTGATGACGATTATTTACAAAATTCTGATTTTAAATTCAATTGTTTTTTTTTCGAAGTGGGATATTTTTGGGAATTTCAAAACCCGTTTCATCTGGCAAAAGTGCATTAAAAACTGGACTCTGGCTCAAGAATAAGAATGCCATTTGAAAGTCAAAATATAAAAAGCGTTTAATTTGGAATTGGCAATTTATTCGGTGATTTGCCGTTAACGGAATTAGACAGAGAAATACAGGTAAGAATTCAAATTTTCAAAATGCCATTTCCAGGCAATTATATAATTCCCTTAATTTTGAATACTCTCTTTGCAGTCTTTCCCAACCATGAAATTCATTAGCGTTGCCTTCTTGGTGGTTGCCACTTTGGTGGCCTCGATTGCCGCCCAAGATAAATACACAACCAAATACGACAACATCAATGTCGATGAGATTCTCTCCTCGGATCGTCTTTTGAATAATTATTTCAACTGTCTCATGGATCGTGGCAGTTGCACTCCCGATGCCCAGGAACTGAAGAAGGCCATTCCCGATGCCCTGAAAACCGAGTGCAGTAAATGCAGCGAAAAGCAAAAGAAGGTCATCGACAAGGTCTGTCACTTTTTGATCGAAAAGAAACCCGACCACTGGAAGGAACTCCAGGCTAAATATGATCCCCAGAATATCTACTACAACAAATACAAGAGTCACATCTAAGTGTGTGGCAATAGAAGTGATGAATTTAGAGAGTGAAATGGAAAAAGAGGAGGAGGCTAACATCGATTTGCAGGAAGAAGGAATAATTGTTTATTGATTTCGGTTTTTATTAAATAAAATTTGGCTAATAAACAAAAAAAAATGAAGCTACAGAATTTTTTTTTTATTTTTTTTTTTTAAACAAAGAGTCATCCACATCAGCTGTAGGAAGATTTTGAAGACAGAGTTAAAAATCCAAAGGTAAAAAAATTTATAAAATATAAAATAATTAAAGAAATAAAATTTTAGCCACAACTAAAAAATACATTGTTTAAATAAATATATTTAAAAGTATTTACTAAATGGACGGACATGCTTACATCGACTCTAAATGTGATTCTATGCTGATCACCAAAAGGAACTATGTGTCTATCTCGTTTCCTTCTCCATATTACAAACAAATACATAAAGACATAATACCCTGACCACCTTGTGGTGTAGGGTATAAATATTGAGGTGTGCAAAATTTATAGAAAACCGAACACTTATTTCCAATTTTAATCGAATAATTTATTAAACAAATTTTTGACCTTTTGTGAGGGAGGTACCAGAAGGAGTGGGCCGATAAATTTCATATTCTTATCAGATCTCTGGTTGAGAGAAATATTTTTATACCAAGTTTAAATAAAAATTCGGACTTGTTTTTGAAGTTGAAGTTAAAATTATAGAAAATGTTGACCTGTGTGGGGGAGGTATCAGATAATCGATATCTATCAGATCTTGAGTTAGTAGAAAATGCGATGTGAAATTTGAAGAGAATCGCATGCATAATCCTCTTTTATGAGACTTTCGGTTTTTCAAAATGTTAGCCCCTTTGTGGGAAGGTATCAGAAGTAGTGATCCATCTTTACACCAGATCTTTTATTTATAGAAATATTGAGATGTGCTCAGTTTGAAAAGAAACGTATGGCTATTTCGCATTTTAGAAGCGTCGTGCTTATTTAAAAATGCTGACCCTTTGTGGGCAGGGTACCAGAAGGAGTGAAACGAATTACCGCAACTTCACGCCAGATCTTGTTTGAGTAAAAATATTGGGATGTGTAAAATTTAAAAAGAATCGGGTGCTTAATTCGCAGGCAAGTGATATCTACTATTCGAAGTTTTTGTGGGGCACCAAAAGAAGTGATACGTCGTATCCAATTTTCACATCAGATCTTGTGCTTATAGAAATATTGGTATGTGCCGAATTTGTAAAGAATCCAATGCTCATTTTGCGTCTTACGAGCTTCATTGTTATTCAAAATGCTGATCTATTGTTCGGAACGTACCGGAGGGAGTGGTCCACCATATCCCATTTTCACATCACATCATGTGTTGGTAGTAACATTGGGATGCCAAAAATTCGAAGACAATCGGATGCTTATTCTGTACAAGTAAAAAAGCAGCTAAGTTCGCCCCAGCCGCATTTTTAATACCCGCCACCATTTTGAAGGAACATGAAAAACTTCAAAGAAAATCCGTAGAAAAATACCTCTGAAATGAAACCCCTTACACAGGGGCTATACGAAAACGTGCGCCTATATAGAAAATTGTTTGGCATATACTGTAGTTCCGATTCCAAAATTTAAGTAGGAAATTTAAAACAATTCTGATGAATAATTCCTCTAAAATCATCAAAAAATACCGAATAATGGAAGGTAACGTTGCATGGGGACTATCCGAAGACCTGGACCTTGGCAGACAATTTATTGTCACAGGCTGTAGTAACTATTGGGAACTGCAAATACGACATTTGAAAGAATTCCACTGAATATTGTACCTAAAATCGCCATGTTGAATATAGGGAGGTACCGATATATGGGGGCTATACTGGACATGCAAAGACAATTTGCTGTCATAGACTTTAGTATCCATTAGGAACTTTAAATAGGAAATTTTAAACAATTGCAGCTAATAATGTCTCTAAAATCATTAAAATACCGAATATAGGGAGGTATAGCTATATGGTGGCTATACGCACACCTGGACTGGCATAGGCAATTTAATGTCACAGGCTATAGTACCCATTAGGAACTTCAAATGCGAAATTTTAAACAATTCCGCTGAAGAAGGTCGCCAAAATCATCAAAATACCAAATATTGGGAAGTATAGCTATATGGGGCTAAATGAAGACGTGGACCTGCATACGCAGTTTTCTGTCACATGCTGTAATACCCATTTGGAACTTCAAATACGAAATTTGAAACAAATCCTAATATCGTTAAAATACCGAATACATGGAGGTACCGCTATATGGAGGCTATACGAAGTCCGGGACTTGCGTACCTATTAGGAACTGCAAATACGAAATTTGAAATAATTCCGCTAAAAAATATCGATTAAACCATCCAAATACTTAATATAGGGAGGTACAGTTATATGGGGACTATACCTAAACGTGGAGCTATGTAGCCCATTTTCTTGTAGACCAAAGACTTATCTGAGTAAAATTTTATTAACCTTCTTCAATTCAATTCAATTCAATAGGGGCGGACATCGACATAGAATGATATGCTGTTCAATGTGGGGTCTAAAATGTATATTTCGAGGTGTTACAATCGGAATGACAAACTTGTATTAAGTTTGTTCCATACAATGGAGGATGATATAATAAAATATTATTATACCCTCAGTCATATTTGCTACAGAGGGTATATACAATTTGGTACGGTCAAAACGTGCCTAGTCGAAATAATGATTTTAGACCCTAGGTCTCTTTGGACCAAATCCGTTTCAGAACATTTGGAGTCGATTTAGCGATGTCCGTCGGTCCGTCCGTCTGTCTGTCTGTCTGTCTGGCTGGTGCGCACGATAACTCTCGAAGGGAGTATCCGATTTGGTCCAAACTGGGTACATTGTAATATTTTTGTCACACTTAGATCGAGTTCGGAGATGGGCAACATCGGTCCACTCCTTCTGGTACCTCCCCCACAAAAGGTCGAAATTTTCAAAAACTATATTTTTTGCACAGAAAGAGAAAGGATAATCCGATTTTGCTCCAACTTTGCAAATCCTAAAATTTGTGTCAGTGCTAGGTTAGGTATGGGAATGGACAGTATGGGTCCACTCCATCAAATGCCTCTCCCACAAAGGGTCAAAATTTTGAATAATTATAACTCTTAAAAAATGTGATGTAAAGGTTTGATTGTCTTCAAATTTCACACACCCCAATATTTATGTTAACCCAAGGTCTGGTGTTAAGATGGACAAAATCGGTTGACTCTTTCTGGTACCTCCCACACAAATGGTTTGAAATTTGCAAAAAAAAAATCTGCACATAAAAGGATAATAATCTAATTTTGCTCTAATTTTGCGAATCCTAATATTTGCGTCAGTTCCAGGTCTCGGACCATAATGTATAATATAGATCCACTCCATCAAATGCCTCTCCCACAAAGGGTCAAAATTTTGAATAATTATAACTCTTAAAAAAATCGATTTAAGAGTCCGATTGTCTTCAAATTTCATACATCCTACTATTTTTATGAACCCAAGATCTGGCAGTAAGTAGGGAATATATCGGTCCATTCCTTTTGGTACTTGTCCCACAAACGCTAAAAATATTGAATATCCATGATGTTCAAAAAAGCGAAATCAACAGCACATCTCAATATTTCCATCAACACAAGGTATGTTATACGAAATGGACAATATTGACTCATTCTTTCCAAGCCCACTCCATACAGGGTCAAGAATTTGAAAATTCATAACAGAAGTCAAAATATTTTAAAATAATCGAACATTGGCTGAGGGTAGACATCTGCCGGCAAAACCGACCGATACTTTTTTACTTGTTTTTAAATAATTTTTGGAAAAAAAATTAAAAAAAAAATAAAAGAAAAATTTTAAAATATTTAAAAATAAACAATAATAATATTAAAATCATAATATTTATTACAAAAAAATAATTAATTAAATCTTATTTATGTACAAATTGATCTAATGACCTATTAACATTGATTGGCTTATTTTAATATTTTTTATACCCTACACCACAAGGTGGTCAGGGTATTATGTCTTTGTGCATTTGTTTGTAACAGGCAGAAGGAAACGAGATAGACCCAAAGTTCCTTTTGATGATCTGCATAGAATAACATTCTGAGTCGATTTATGCATGTCCGTCCGTCCGTCCGTCCGTCTGTCCATGTATTTTTGTAAACAAAGTACAGGTCGCATTTATGGCCCGATCCAGATGAAATTTTGCACAAATCATTTGTTTGGCCCAAGGACGAACCCTATTAAAATTGGAAAAAATCGGTCAAAATTTAGATATAGCTCCCATATATATCTTCGTCCGATTTGCCTTTTATTGTGCACCAAACGTGTAATATCAGCCCAAATAGTATGGAATTTTGCACATACAACCAGATTAGGCCTGAAAATAAGTGTGCCAAATTTGATTGAAATCGGTGCAGATATAGCTATAGCTCCCATATATATTATTCATCCGATTTTTTTATTTTTGTCCACCGCAGCCGTAATATGCACTCTGTAACAACAATATTTTGGGAAACATATCAAATACGGCTCAGAAATACCTTTGCTAAACTTTATCGAGATCGGTTCGGATTTGGATATATCTCCCATATATAACTTCGTCCGATTTAATATTAGACCAAATGGGATGAAATTTGGCACTTACGACCGAATTGAGTCTAGAATATAGTATTTTAAATTTGGTGAAGATCGGTTGAGATATAGCTATAGCTCCCATATTATTGTTCATCCGATTTGTTATATTTGTTGCCCACAGCCGTAATATGCACTCCGTAACAACAATATTTTGGGAAATATATCAAATACAACTCAGAAATACATTTGCTAAATTTTATCGAGATCGGTTCAGATTTGGATATAGCTCCCATATATAACTTCGTCCGATTTACCATATTTGTCCAAATGGGATGGAATTTGGCACATACGACCGAATTTAGTCTAGAAGGTAGTATGCCAAATTTGGTGAAGATCGGTTCAGATATAGTTATAGCTCCCATATAAATTGTTCATCCGATTTGTTATATTTGTTACCCACAACAGTAATATGCACTCCGAAACAACGATATTCAGGGAAATATATCAAATACAGCTCAGAAATATCTTTGCCAATCGAGATCGGTTCAGAT